GACTATATTCCCACTTTAAAAATGACGTTACGATTTTTAAAAATCTATTGTAAAAATATGCTTCTACTGTATTGGGTGTATAGATTAGCAAAACAAAATGTCGCCCTAAGTGAACCAATCAAAAATGTGTTCTCTAATATTTTTTTTTCTCAACAGGCTACGGAAGAACATCAAGGCACATAGTTTTTTTTTAGCAAGAGCGAAGGGATATTTTCCCTGATTAAATGATCTTTTGAAGGATCTTCTCTGTGATGAAAAGATTTTTGCTGTGTCATCGGGATCTTTGTTCAACAATAGTTTATTAGACTGGGCAAGATCATACTTGGAGCAAGACTGTGCAAGATCATACTTGCAGCAAGACTGTGCAAGATCATACTTGGATCCCTTAAACAAAAAGATGTCGGATCCATACTCGTTACTGCAGTAATAGCCTAGGGTTATATAATACTGGGAAGTAATAAAGCACGATAACTTTATACAAAGAAGAGATACATCTGGATATTTCAATAAAAGATAGAAATATTGTAAGATAATTTGATACAGTAGAGAACAAAACAAAACACTTTCATAAGAAAACTTAACGATAAGAATAGCGTGCCAAGATAAATTGTGTGGAGGAGTTTTTGGAGATCGAGAACAAAAACTATCAAAATCCGACTTAGTGGTGATTGGGGCTAGAAAGATTCGAACCTAGTCTAGCGTTAATCCTAACTAGATCAAAAACTAAAAGTTCCGACATAGCTGTGGTCACCGGAGCTAGGAGGATTCGAACCTGGTCCAGCACTAACCCTAACTAGACCAAAACCTACATAGATCCGACATAGCTGTGGTCACTGGAGCTAGAGGGATTCGAACCTGGTCCAGCACTAACCCTAACCCCTTGCAAACGAGGCGGGCATGTTGTCCGGTATAGCCCAGTATTGAGGTCATGTTCAGGTCAAGTCAACAGATACCTGCTGGACTTAACTGTATGGACCTTCAGATGGCCAGCAAGTCACCAAGTCACGTAAGTCATATTCGTGTGACTTTTTCGTTTGTATATTACCGGTTGACTTAATTTTATAAATACCTTTTCTCCCCCCCCCCCCCCCCCATTTAAAGTGGACTTTCTGCCTATGTTCAGAAGACTTTTTCGTTCCATATTCTGTCGACCTTTTCTTTCTTTAATCAATTGGCCAGTTCCATTTATATTCAGTTGACAATATTATTTTCTACATTCAGTGGACTATTACCTTCTTTCTAAATTCAGTTAACTATTTCTTTCTATATTCAACCGAATTTGTCTTTCTATACTCTTACTAGATCTATATTCAGTCATTTTTTTATTTCTATACTCCGCGACTTTTTCTTTCTTTATTCAGTTAACTATTTCTTACTATATTCAGTCGTTTTTCTCTTTCTATATTTAGTTAGCTATTTCTTTCTATATTCAGTTCACTATTTCTTACTATATTCAGTCGACTTTTTCTTTCTATATTCAGTTACTTATTTCTTACTAGATCCGTGTATTCAGTCGACTTTTTCATTTTATATTCAGTTGGACATTTTCTCTACTATATGTAGTTAAAATCCTTCTCTACTGTACAATCGAGAGTAAATATTACTATGTGTGACTATCTGGAATTCTGGAATCCAGATAAAAACGTTTAAGAACGAAATAAATTATTTTACTCAGAACCACATACACATAAACACACATACATACACGCAAAGAAACTCACGCACACGTAAACACACACACACACACACACACAAACGCATACACACAAAATGTTCTTTCTATTGCCGACGAAAGATATACTGTAATCGCTGTTAAAACTAGCATTATGATTAGAAGTAGGTTCTAAGCTAGTCATACTTTTAAGGCTAGAATCGTAGCTAATGGCTTAGGTTACAAGTAGGACTAGATGTATGGAACTTCCATAATGGAAGCGATACTAGCAAAATAATCAGCCTATATATCTCAGAGGAGAACAAATGTAGCATCTCGATTGGTAACAAGACTAGCCAAGGGACACTACTCACTCAAAATCAACCCAGTATCACAATATGTAGGCCTATAAAGTGAAGGAATATAAGCAAAAAATATTTGGAGTTGAAAATATAAAAAAGTACATCAGGCAATTAAAAAAAAAATAAAAAAATAAAAACCAAGTATGTATTATAATACAATATAACACATTTTATGAAAAATCGCAAAAAAAATATTTTAAAAATAGTAACTGCGCTAAATAAAGTAACGAATCAAATATAACATATTTAAAAAGTATCAATTAGACAACAAAAAAAAAAAAAAAAAAAAAAAACAACGCATGACATTAAATCGAAAAGAAGCTCAATAAAAATCATTCTAAGTATTTAAAAAAAATAAAATTAAAAAATGTCTGTTATATGATTTTGAGATTTTAAAATCGACTCTAAACATTAAACTACAACAAATTTGAGACTTGTAGCCCTACATAAATGTAATCGAAATGAAGGAGTTTATTCTGCACATTCAGTCAACAAACTCCGGTTGTCATAGTGATTGAAAATGTCATTTGTTATCACGTTTATATTTGCTATTTTAAAAATAGACTGACTATGATTAACTATAGTGTTTCATTTTTATAATAGAATTTAACATATTGTTAAATACTATCCAGTTAGTTACTGAGTATTTGCTACTATAGAGATGATGGTTTTATGATTTTAAAATTTTAAATCCAGTTGCGTAGCGAGGGGGGGGGGGGAGGGAGGGGGGGGGGGTGGGACGACATATGTCCCCGGGCGCCGACCTTAGGGGGCGCCAAAATGGGTTGGAAAAATAAATTGAAAGGTCGAGGGGGGTGCAAATCGAAAGTTGGAGGGGGGGGGGTGGGGTGGAAATCGAAATCCAAAGGGGGGGGGGGGTGTGCAAATCAAAAGTTTGAGGGGGGGGTGCAAATCAAAATCTTGAGGGGGGGGAGGGGTGCAAATCGAAAAGTTTGTCCCCGGGCGCCGGGAAGGGTCGCTACGCTTCTGTTTAAATCACAATATTAACTGTCGATTTAGCACTGCTTATCCGATCGGGATAATATATTGACGGCTTGTGAAATAATACTTGAAAGTATTACACTGCAAAGTTGTGTTTATTTTTTTAAAAGAAGGGGGTGGCAGCCCCACCGCTCCCCTCCTGGTTCCGCACAATCCAAACTAAACGAACGAGTCAGGTACCCATCAGAGCTGGGTGTGCTCGGTGATGTACTATGGACTTGAACCCGGATTCGAACTCGAGACGTATGTGTTAGTAGTCGCATGCTCTACCATTCGACTGCTCCTTCCCTCAAAACACAATCAGACTAAAAAAAACAACAAACAAAAAAAAACAAAAAAAAAACAAAAACATCGGACACTATAATTGACTTCATCGAGAGACAACAAGACTTCCCCACCTTCTAAACCCCCCCCTCCCCCCCTTATCCTGTCCCACCACCCCTCCATAAATTAGCCGTGCCGATCACTAAGACACTACTAGAACATAAACTGAAAATAAATGGGATCTTTATCTCTGCCCGCGGGGGGTGGACTAGTCGATGATGACGTTGTAATGGGGCGTCGGTGGGTGGGGGTGGGGGGCGGCAGACTGTACATACAAACAAGGTGTAATCTGTTAGCGGTAATAATAGGGTGATATAGTACTGATTGGACGTGGAATCGTAGGGGAGGTAGATACAGCAACAAACGCTGGATGTGAATATATATATATATATATATATATATATATATATATATATATATATATATATATATATATATATATATATATATATATATATATATATTCAATGTAAAATTGATACTTGCTTATAACTAACGTAAATGCACAAATCTTTGCCATGGGCACAGATTCTGATAAAGCATGTGGCTAATAGAAGTGAAGGAAAGTCCAATACCACCCACCCCCACTCCCCCTCACACACACCCACACTGTGGAGCCACACTATTTATAATTAGTCTTGTGAAGTTATTTTGAATCGTCATGAATGAAACAAAAGCAGTTTTGACTAATTAAGTATTAGACCGACTTATGGTGCTCTTATTACGAAGATGTAAATTATTAGTGGATGATGCCCAGTGGGTTAATCACCCAGCCCCCCAACCCCCTACCCTAACCCGCCCAACTGACAAAGATGGAACATTCTAAAATTAACTTTGAGGAAACTTATGAAACGAAGCTGTCAAAAATCAGATTAGTAACAAACTGTTTTTTTCGTGTTTTAGACCCTCATTTTATGCAGACAAATTGAGTTCTGTGTACAGGTATAAGGGACTAGGGGGTAGTGCAAGGGGGGAGGGGGGTGGTGGGTCAACATTCTGTCATATTTAGTTATATGTAGGGGGGGGGGGCTGTGATATAAACCAATGTTATAAAAAGACACTAAACGAAGATATGTAAAATGAAGTTTAACAACTAACTAGAACTGTGAAGTAATGTGTAAGCGATTTTATGAGGCCAGAGATTGATACGGACTCAGCTAATACAGCGTTTTCTAAAACTAAAGAAAATTATATTTTTTTCGTACTAGGACTAAACTAACGTTCACTGTTTACATTTATTTGATGTAAAACATCTAATTCTCAGTAAACTGCACGTTTATTTTGTTTATTTTCCCCACATCTGGACTGTGCACAGATTTTAAGTGTACGTATTATTAAAAAATAATTATTAATCAAATTACATACCAAAGCGACTGTACTAAATCAGCAAAGTCTACACAATTTAATGATATTATTGATACTCTACACTTGGGATTAACCCTGTCTCTAAGCCCTTAACCCTGAGGTAAACCTAACCGATATTCCTAATTCTAAATCTAACTCTATCACTCTAACTTCACTCTTAACACTAACCATATCCTCAATGTTATTCATATCCCTCCATCTACCCGGAACACAATCTTAACCCCCCCCCCAACACACACACTATAATCGAGATCATCATATTATTTTCCCGTTCGTGCCTAGTTCATGTGGAGCAGGTGCAGTAGAGTTATGGTTTAAATTAACTCGGTACATTAACGTATAAGTAGTATATTAGGTCCCTTTTGGAGCGAAGGCGCAGGCGCAGGCGCTGGGTGAGCAGGAGCAGGAGCAGGAGCAGGAGCAAAGGATATATAGGAAAATACTCGGATGCGGATGGACAACGAGATATAGTAAAATACTCACCCACCTGGGTGGAGTGGGTGATGCGGATGGACAACGGGATATAGTAAAATACTCCCTGGGGGAGCAGGAGGTACACCGACATATAGTAAAATACTCACCCACCTGGGTGAAGGTGGGTGAGGGTGGGGGAGCAGGATGGACAATGACATATAGTAAAATACTCACCCACCTGGGTGAGCAGGTGGGTGAGGGTGGGTGAGCAGGATGGACAATGAGATATAGTAAAATACTCACCCACCCTAGGGTGGGTGAGCAGGAGGGGGAGTAGGTCAGTAGGTCACCACCGGTGACCTTGTGACGTAATCAGTGACCTTGTGACGTAATCAGGGACAATATGACGTAATCATTGACCTAGTTACGTAATTTTAATGCGTTTTTTAATTAGTTTGAATTTAATTTTTAAATTTTAATTAGTTTTTAATTAGTTACGTAATTTAATTAATTTGATTGTATTTTTATTTTGTTTAATTTGTTTGTTTACTTGTTGTTTAATTTAATTACTTTGTTTATATTGTGTAATTTTTTGACCTAGTTACGTAATTTTATTATTTGTTTACTTTTTTAATTATTTTTATTTTGTTTATTTTTAATTTAATTTTATAATTAGTTTGAATTCAATTTAATTACTTTGTTTATATTGTGTAATTTTTTATTGACTAGTTACGTAATTGGATTTTAATTTTTAAATTTTTAAATTTAAATTTTAAATTTTAATTGATTTTAATTACTTTGTATTTTGTTTGTTTATTTTGTTTGTTTACTTGTTATTTAATTTGATTACTTTGTTTATATTGTGTAATTTTTATTAACGAGTTACGT